TTGCAGCATCACTACCACCCTCCAGCGATGTCATTATTGCCCTGAAAATCTTGGAAAATACACCCTGCTGACTGTAGAAACCCTTTACTTACAAATTCCTTCCTGGTAGGCTCTCCTGGAATACATTTTCTTCCAAATGGCCCTGGTGAATTTCTCGATTGATGGAGTAGACAAAACATTCACAAGACAGCCTCATAATTCATCGTAGTCAAAAACCAATTCAGGATAACCCAAAAGACTTGTGGCTATTGGCCAGATTGTGTGATAACACGTTAATTAAGAAGTTACTGATGCCGGGATGCCTGGGTGGCTCAGGAGGTTAAGTGCCTGCCTTCGGCTCAGGTCATGATCCCAGGGTCCTGGGATCGAGTCCCATGTCAGGCTCCTTGCTCAGCGGGGAGCCTGCTTCTCCCTCTGCCTGCTGCTCCCCCTGCTTGTGCTCTCCCCCCCCCCCGACAAATAAAATCTTAAAAAAAAAGAAGTTACTGAAGCCTACTATGTGTCTGGCCCTCTGCTTAGTGTGAGGAAGTCAAGAAGGCATGATACCTGCCCTCATTTTCTTATGGTCTAAAAGGGGAAAAGCCAATCACACAGGAATTTCCATAAACAGCCCTAAAGGCTGAATGGGTGGACAAGCCACCTTTTAATCGGGCAGCCAACTGACTGCTCAGCTCTTTGCAACTGCCAATGGTCCACCAGTATCTTCTCATTTGGGAATTAGCTTTTAAACCATAAGCTTATGCAAGAGTTCACAAAATATTTATGCCTTATGCATGAGCAGAAAAAAATAAATGGGTAGAAGGGCATGCCAGGGTACAGCTAATGTTGTTGGCATCTACATCTGTCACCAGGGAGGAGTGCAAGGCCGGAACTGGCAGAGGCAGCTGCTTGGGCAGCCCACTGTGATTCAGGCCACATCTAAAGACAACTATTCACAAGTTTCTGTCTTGAGTGATATGGGGAAAGCTACATGATCAGCATCCGGTCATTTTCACAATTGTTGTGGGTGTCTACACTTAGCAGGGAAGTGGACTGACATGGCCCTTGAATCTAAACCCGTAAGGTTTAGGCCAAGGTCCATATTCATACAAGCCTTTTCCCCACTCACCTAGATTCTACTGTCCCTTCAATGTCCTGCTCAAGGCCTCACACCAGCTGTCTGGGTCCGATGTCCACTTCCAAGGGCACTCACTGCCACTGAATGGCTTAAGCAGGGAAATGGAATGATTAGATTTGGGTTTTTAGAAGAGTGCCCTGCAATGTGGAGAATGGCTTGAGAGGGAATAAAATCAGAGATAGAATGACTTGTTAGGAAACCACTGGAGTGGTCTGGGAGAGATACTAGTGGTCTTGTAGAGATGGTAGCAGTGAGGTCAAAGAGGGGTTGAGTTGAGAGCCATTGCAGAGGTAGAACTGACATAATTTGGTAAATATTAGATGTGGTTGTAGAAATGAGGGTGAAGGAGTAGTCAAGAATAAGTGTCAGTTTCTGCCCAGGACAACTGAACTGATAAGGCACCATTCTTAGACATGTTGAGTTTAAGATACATGAAAGTCATCCAAGAGAGATGGACGGTGGGCGGTTGGACACACAGGTCCAAAGTCCAGAAGACAGGTTTGGGATGGAGACGCAGATTGGAGAGTCATCAGTATATGGACAAGTCATCGAAGCTAGAGGAGAGGTTATGGGTTGAATATGTCCCACCCTTTCTCAACACATGTTGAAGTCCTAATCCCCAATATATCAGAATGAGACCTTATTTGGAGATAGGATCTTTACAGTGGTAATCAAATTAACATGAGGTCTTTAGTTAGGGTGGGCCCTAATCCCATAGGCCTGGTGTCTTATAAAAAGGGGAAATTTGGATACAGACACACAATAGGGTAAACACCAGGTAAGATGAAGGCAGATACTGAGGTGTTGCTTCTATAACTCAAAGAACGCCAAAGGCTGTCAACAGATCACCAGGAGCTAGGTAAGAAGCATAGAATAGATTCCCTCTCCCTCTCGCCGGAAGGAAGAAACCCTGCTGACACCTCAATCTCAGATTTCTAGCCTCCAGAACTATCAGACAATACATTTCTGTTATAAGCCACCAAATTTGTGGTACTTTGCTACGGCAACCCTAGTAAACTCATACTGGAGGGAATGAGATCATCCAGAGAGAGAATGCTGAGAAATGCAGATAACTAGGGCTGAGACTCAAGAAAACTATTAATTAAAGGGATATGAACCTATTTTTTTTTTTTAAAAAAAGGCAGCCAAAAAGTGAGGGGAAGAAACAGGGGGATGCAACAATATCGAAGGCAGAGAAAGAGAGTAGGAGAAGAAGGCCATGGCACAGAGTTTGGCTTTGGTCATTGTCAACCGTGGAAAGAATACTGCTGGTGGAGTAGCAGTCGCAAAGGGATCGGCGTTTACAGAGAAAGGCATGGAAGGTGAGAAAACACCAGCAGGAAGTGTTGACAGCAACAAATGCAAAGAGAAAGGACATAGTTTTATGCAGATTTTGAAAATACAGAAATCATGTTATTTTAAGGAGTAGACCAATCATCCCGAATCTGTTATGTAGGGGGTGGGGATGGACACTTACGCAGATGAATGGATGCAGGGAGAAGACCAAGTCTCTCTGCCTTGGTGCACGGTACACTTGGGGCAAAGAAACCAGAAAACAGGTGAATTCTATCCCAACATGGAAAGCCCCGATATAGTGACAAATCCTGGGCTTCATGGAAATGAGGAGCTGCAGGATGGAAGAAAGATGGCAGAGCCAGGTCATTCAGTATACTTTATTTTTTTTAAGATTTATTTATTTGAGAGAGAGAGAGAGTGCATGAGGGGGAGGGGCAGAAAGAGGGGGAGAGAGAGAATCTCAAGCAGACTCCTCACTGAGTGCAGAGTCTGACTCTGGGCTCCTCGTGGGGCTCGATCTCACAACCCTGAGATCAAAACCTGACCCGAAACCAAGAGTCAGAAGCTTCACTGATTGCACCACTCAGGCAACCAAGGACAGTCTTGTTACAAGAAAGATAATCTCTTATTCACAGTGCAAAAGATTCATAAAAATCATGCATGGTGCTGTAATTTAATAGGAGAAGATGTGAAATTTTCTTTAAGCTTCCTGAAATCTTCCTACCCAGAATCCAGGGGATCTGATTTGTCATGTTAATCACCTCCCTGCCCCCAGGGTCATTTCAAATGTTCAATCGAAATCCTCATTCACTATCAAGGCCATTTCTTGGCCAGAGATGAGGGATAAATATTAAAGTGTTTGCTTTATGGGAGTAAATTATCCCCTGGGAGTACTGTGTTCGCCCATGTGAGGCAAATCACAGCAGCTAGGCAAGTGTTGGAATGCGTACTGCACTGGTACTGACGGCTGAGCATAATAGATTTAAAAAGTCTCTTGCAGAGGTAGCTCTTGCAGTCTGTTAGGCATGCTCTCCTCTTGCAATCCTAAATTAATCTAATGGAGTGGAAGACACTTCAGATGTTCACACTGTCTGGAAGATGACTTGAATTTACTGCAGGAGCCCTGGAATAATTTAAAGGGTCCTGCTGGCATCACCTTCTAAACATTCCTTGAATCTATCTCCTCTTGCCATCCTGATCCCTCCAATCCCCCAGATGATGCCCTCCTCCTTTGGCTTTTTCTTGCATAATTGACTGCCACGAGCTTCCAGGCCCCGGGATTGCACAGGGTTGCTGCCACATGAGGATGGAAGTTATCTGCTATCAGAGAGAAAACTCTGGGTTAACCTTGACCCACACACTCTACAGCCCAGAGACTAATTTTCCTGGCTACCATTTATTTTGGCCATTAATTATGGCAATAAGGATGTCACAGGTGACTTATGAAGCAGTTTCAGTAGAGAGGAGGTGAAGGAAGTGGAAGGAAGAGGCACGGAGGCAGAGGTTTGAGAAATTGGAAGGATTTAGCGTCAGGGTCGAGTGAAGTGCTATACAAGATATAGGGGAAAGTTCCAGCTATGATGAAGTAACCTGTACAGGACTAGTGCTCCCTCCCACTGCAAACAAAATAAAACTGGACAAACCACAGAGGCAACTGCTTCCAGGCATTAGCCAACAGGTGGCATGAGACTGCAATCTCTAAGAACGGTCACAAGGTGAGCCCCTTGATCTCCAGCTTCTGCTCGGAAACAGCTTCCTCCCTGTGGAGCAGAAAGGTGAGTCTGGGCAGGCAGCACTGAGGAGAGGAGGCAGAGATCGAAGTTCGGAGCCACTGGAATTCATGGTCCGGTTGGAGAGGATGGACTCGTGACTCCCGACACTGTCACAAGCAAGTACAAGCTCGCCTGTTTCTCCAGTCATGCCACTGACCACTTCTCCCCATCCAACCCCTGGGCCTACATTCTGTGAACTCGTATGTGAGCTTCAGCACTCAGGTCAATGTTGCCTACCCTCAAGGGCATTCCTTGACCACCTGCTTTCCTCCGTGCCTGCCCCACTTCCCAAATCATACCATACTGTATTTTTATTTTTACATTTCAGTATTTTTATTTATACATTTATTTTTATCCCTGGCTTTTAGCTTTTTAATAGTATGGGCTCTATCTTGGTCATTTTTGTGTCCCCAGTCCCGGCACTCCGTAGCTTTTCATGAGCATTTGTGGAGTTGCCTGGCCCTTGAGGAGAAACTAAGTGTAGCACCTAATCACGCTCTTTATGTTCAGTAACTTTCCTGTGTCTATGTTTTATCACTTAACACATGCTCAAGAAACCTATGTTTAAAGACTAAATGAATAAATTGACAAGACTAGAAATGCCCTAATTAAGTTTAAGAACTAATTCTTACTTGTTTTGAGTCTCTTAGTCCTTTAGGAAAGGATGTTAGGCTCACACTCACTATTCAATAAATCCTTGTGAAACTGGTTGATTAGCAGGAAAGTCAGTAAACTCCAGACACATCAAGATTCCCTCACCCCCACCTAGAAGCAGCTTCTCAGCTCCTTTTGGATTCTCTGGTCCAGCTACTCACCTCTGCTCCAGCCTCCATCACGTCCATCAGAGTGACCCAGAAGTCCTACGAGGTGTCCACCTCAGGCCCCCAGGGCTTCAGCAGCTGCTCATACACATGGGCCTGCTGCCCGCATCCTGCCCCCCCAGCCTTTTCCCAGTGGGCCGCCGCAGCAGCTTGCAAGATGGCCTGGACACCCGCATGAGTATGGTCGTGGCTACGGTGGGTTTCGGGGTGTCTCGGTGAACCAGAGCCTGCTGAGTCCTCTTAAGCTGGAGGCGAACCCCAACATCCAGACCGAGTGCACCCAGGAGAAGGAGCAGGTCAAGACCCTCCCTCAGCAGCAAGTTTGCCTCCTTTAGCGACAAGGTGTGGAACCTGGAGCAGCAGAATGAGATTCTGGAGACCAGGGAGAGCCTCCCACAGCAGCAGGGAACAGCTCAGAGCAACAAGGACAACATGCTCCAGAGCTACCTCAACAAGCTTTGTCGGCAGGTGGACACCGTGGTCCAGGAGACTCCGAAGCTGCAGGTGGCACTGGGCAATATGCAGGGGCTGGCGCAGGACTTCAGAATAAATACGAGGAAGAGACCGAAGAGTGTGCAGAGATGGAGAATGCATCTGTCGCCATCAAGAAGGCTGTGGGTGAAGCTCACGCGAATGAGGCAGAGCTGGAGTCGGCCACAGATCTCCGACACCTCCACGGGCCTCTCCATGGACAGCAGCCGCTCCCTGGACCAGAGGGCATCATCGCGAGCTCAAGGTCCGGTACCAGGAGATGGCCAGCCGCAGCCGGGCGGAGACTGAGGGCTGTCCCAGATCAAGTAGTAGGAGCTGCAGAACTCGGCTGGGAAGCATGCCAATGACCTCCGACGCACCAGAGGGAGATTTCTGAGGTGAACCACAACATCAGCTGACTCCCCGCTGAGGTCCAGGCCGTCAAAGGCCAGAGGGCTTGGATGGAGGCGGCCCTCGCTGATTGCCAGGCAGCACGGGTGGGGGGCAGTAAGGACACAGCAAGTTGAGCAGGACTTGGCACAGCAGCTGTGCAAGTAGCAGGAGCTCGTGAATGTCAGGCTGGCCCTGGACAGGGCGATCGCCACCTACCCAAGCTGCTGGAGAGCAGGGAGAGCCGGCTGGAGTCTGGGATGCAGAACGTGCATATCCATACCGGGACCACCAGCGCTACTCAGGTGGGCTGAGCTCAGCCCACCGGGTCTCACCAGCCCTGGCCTCCACTCCTTCCAGTCCAGCTTCAGCTCTGGTGGGGGCTCCAGCTCCTTCAGGCATGTCAGCGCCTCCTTCAGTCAGGTCATGGTTGCCAAGAAGATCAAGACCTGCGATGGGAAACTGGCATCCGAGTCCTATGATGTCCTCTCCAAGTGAACAGCCACTGAGGTCCCTCCCAGCCGCCCCCCTCCTGCAGCTGCCCTAGAGCCTTTGAGGAAAGGAGCTGTGCAGGGGAGCGTGGGGAACAGGAGGCCCACGTGAGGCTCAGCCCCAGTCCTCAGCCTACCCTTGGGGGAGTCTACTGCCCTAAGGACCCCATCTTGCCCATGCCCCCAACTAAAGAAACCAATTCAAGTGTCTTTTCCAAAATAAAGCCTCAGCTGGTTCTGAGCGCCCCCTCCCCCCATCAAAAGGGATTTTCTCATATTTGCATCTTTGAAATGTGAGCAGGAAATGGCAACTGCCCTGGCAATTAATTGCTTTTAGATCTCATGAATGCCAGATGCAATTGACTCCAAGGAGCTATCACATCTAAGATCTGGGCAGCAAGAACAGGATGGTCTTTGTGTCTGTGTTTCTATCTCCTGGATGGAGGCCATTAACAGACCCGCTGAGTTGGCCTGATCAACAGGTGCACAGAAAAGAATCAGCTTTCCAGGATTTCTGGCAAATCTTAATGGAGTAATTATAAAATTTATCATGTATGTGGCTCCCTCAGGGGTTTAGATCAAAGTGAAATACATGAGGCTTGAGATCTACAAAGCCTTGTTGAGGGACAAAAAGAGAGTCTGTCATACACGCCCCAGGGAAGATGACAGGCTGTGCCTCCCCCTGCATCCCCTTCTCTCCTCGCCAATGGGATGCTCACAGTCACAAGCTCTGCGGTCTCTCTGTACTCTCAGAGTCTCAGTTGTTCCAATGACACTTTCTGATCTCCCAGTAACTTGGAATAGCATTCACGAAAAGGCATTTCTACACAGCAACAGTCAGAGGAAACTTTGTCCCATCCGAGATTTAACACGAATTTTTTTTCTGGAAGCTGCTGACAGCGTAGCTTCCAAGGATTTTCTAAGGTCCAGCGTGGCTTCTGACAGAGTCTCCTTAGAGCATAATTTCTGCACTACAGCACAGTTAAAGAGCCCAGACTTGGAAGTCAGATGACCAAGGGTGGAATGTCAGCTCTGCTTCTCACCATGTTGCGCTCTTGAGCAAGCGATCTTTCCTTTCTGAGCCTGCGCGTCTTCATTGGCAAGAAGGAGAGTAGTTATCTACCTAGCAGGGTTGTTGTAAGGATTAGAGAAGATACCGTACTTTGTTGTTATTTTATTTGTAGAACATCAGAGCACCCGGAATGGTGCCTTTCACCCAGAAGGCTCAAAAACTATTTCCTGATTGAATTTTATTTTAGCGCAAGGCATATACCATTGGCAAAATCTGACTTATAAACGGGAGTTTTTCCCAATTCTAGATGCACTTCCCCATATAAACAAAGTTATAAATTGTTGTTTGACCGCGGATTGGTACTCAAGTCCCATTTAGTACACAACGTTGCTAAAATACTGTACATTTGCAGTGGGGAAGCACAGTCATTAAGCAAAACAGGACAACATTGACTAAAAACAGTTTTATATTTATCTTGAATGTTTGTGGTTGAGAAAAAGTAGATTAAATTTAAGGAAGAGGAAGAAGTTGTAAATAATTATTGGAGGGGATCCTGAGGGAAACTACTGTGTATTTCCCAAAGACTCTCCGTGTTGATGCCCTGCATCTTTATTCTGTTTAATTTCCCATCAAACCTTAGGACTTCTTCTTTGATACAGGTATCCCATTAGCATCAATTCCTTGCGTATCAATGTAACAAACACTTCTTTTAGCTCACAAATGGTGGGGTTTCAAGAATACAGTTTTATTTCCCCAGAAATAGGAAACTGGAGGGGAAAAACGGATGCATGAGAGAGAAACTGAACAAACAACAGAGCTTCAGAACAAGTTGAAAAAAATGGGAAGTAAACGGAGTTAAAAATAGGTGTGTGTGTGTGTGTGTGTGTGTGTGTGACAAATTCTACCTCAGGCAATCATCTTAATGAAAAAGTGAGGAAAAACCAGAGGAAAATGACCCAGGTGTTCTCTTTTGGAGGGTGAAAATGGGAGTGGTGGTCAATGTCAGAAAGAAAGTTCCCCATTATGGCTTCTCTGTGGTATATCAGCCATTCGAGAACTTGGTTTCTGTTCTAAACAAGTGCATAAGAAAAGTTTGTAAGGCAAATTGAAGGGAGGAGGCTGGGTGACCTTGGGAGGTCACTTAACCTTCCCAGATTGGAGTGTTCTCAGTTATAAAATGAGAAAGTGGGACTAGACACTCTGGAAATTTTTAGTGTAAAAAATTTTAAATTTTATGAAGAATTTATGACTTAATACCAACTAGCACTGTTTCCAGTTAGGTACAAGTTAAAATCATAGACTTTGCTTATGCAACCCAATATGGTCCTTCCCCCTCACCTCCTTAAAAAGTTATCTTCCCTAAGCATCACCATGACAACTGAGAAATAACCTGTGTTTCTTCTAAGGAAGGGATTTTCAGACTTACACCTAGACACAGGGCAGGATATTTTTCAGGAAATATCACTGCATTTGGCACTTTCCGTAGAGTAAAAGATCTAAGGAAGAATCCCTGAAACAATAAAAAACAGAAACTGATTTTCCTTTAAAATATAAAGAAGGCTCATATTTTGCAGTGTTAAATGCTACTTTAAAGAGTGTATTTTCAAGAAAAAAATGAATAAGATGTATGACAAATTCATTACACTCATGTTTTATCAAAGGACATGGTTTTAAAATTCCACTGTGCGCACTGTGGAACTGATCATTTTTATAAAACAATGTTATGAGGCTTCCAGAATCTCAGTTATGCATACTGAAGGGATAGGGTTGAATCTGTAGTTTTGCCTGAAAAGAACATTGTACCAGAAATTAGGATCTCCAGGGCTTAGTGGTCAGTTTAACTCCTGACTAAGCATCTGATCCTGGATGTTTCTTTTGTCATTCTGTCTCTTGATTTTCTATATATGAAGCTGGAAAATAACTACCATTCTTTATATCAAACTCATTGCTATTCTCTTATATTTTTATTGTGGTATAGCATAGAATTTACCATTATACCCTTTTTAAGGGTAATGTTTAGTGGCATTAAGTATATTGATATTGTTGCTCACCATCACTACCATCCATTTCCAAATTTTACATCTCCCCAAACTGTAACTCTGTACCTATTCTCTTATTTTATTGTATAGTTTTGAAGATTTTATTTATTTATTTGACAGAGAGAGACACAGCGAGAGAGGGAACACAAGCAGGGGGAGTGGGAGAGGGAGAAGCAGGTTCCTCGCTGAGCAGAGAGCCCAATGTGGGGCTCGATCCCAGGACCCCAGGATCATGACCTGAGCTGAAGGCAGATGCCTAACAACTGAGCCGCCCAGGCGCCCCCCCCTCATTTTCTTATTTTAATAATATTTCTCTTAATCCACTCAGAGCACCAACCAATAGAGTTCTTATACCATGTACCCCCTTAGTGTGGCTGTGTGAAAATAATTTTACAGAATTAAGAAGGGAAAATTGAAAATTGCAGATATGCCAGTCTGATGTCAAATCTGCTATGAAGTTTATGTATCAAGTTCTGATGATTAAAAGCCCATTTGGGTTACTCTCAAATGTTTGAACTCAAACATTTGATCACTGATGTATATACTCTCCCTGTGAAAAGCACACCAAGAGGAATCTTGTCCCTTTTGGTGAAAAACACCAAGAATTGCCAGAGAAGACTAACAGAGTTAAGCATTCTGGAAGATCAACCTTCCAAAGAAGTAGACAAATCAGGTGGGCTGGTTGTGTCTGTACAGAAGAGACTCTTGAAGCATCATTGCATCCAGGGATTTCCCGAGCTCCAATGCTCACCTGTCTACTCTCCATTATTTGCTGTTCATTTTGAATCCAGTTCCTTTTACTCACTGCTTTGAACCATCCTTGCTTCCCTGCCTCACCTTGCCCATATGTCCCAGGTCTTCCTACCCCTCATCCACAGCTCCACCCTCATCTTGGATATGGACGAGGTTCCCTTTTGCTTAATCCTATGCCATTGTAGGTCAGCCTCCTCCATTCCCCTCCTGGCCATAGCTGGCTAACTCTTAGCCCTTCTTCTCTCTTCCCTTTACCCTCTCTCTCACTCACAACCAGAGCCACAGCCATTGGAAACGTGGTTTTCTATGTTTCATAAAAACAACATAATATTGAGAAGGGGGGCAAATCAGAGGGGGAGATGAACCATGAGAGACTATGGACTCTGAGAAACAGACAGAGGGCTTTAGAGGGAAGGGGGGTGGGAGGATGGGTTAGCCCGGTGTTGGGTATTAAGGAGGGCACGTATTGCCTGGAGCACTGGGTGTTATACGCAAACAATGAATCATGGATCACTACATCAAAAACTAATGATGTAATGAATGGTGACTAACATAACATAATAAAATAAAATTAAAAACAACAACAACATAATATTGAATCAGATAATTTGAGCCTCAGCTTTCTGATGCTGATTTATAGGTCAGACTTCCATGCAGAGAAATCCCATATTGAAAATCTGGTTCATAAATGGTGTTGGGAAAACTGGACAGCCATATGCAGAAGAATGAAACTGGACCATTTCCTTACACCACACACAAAAATAGACTCAAAATGGATGAAAGACCTAATTGTGAGACAGGAGTCCATCAAAATCCTAGAGGAGAACACGGGCAGCAACCTCTTTGACCTCAGCCACAGCAAATTCTTCCTAGAAACATCACCAAAGGCAAGGGAAGCAAGGGCAAAAATGAACTATTGG